TGCTAATGAGACGACAATGGTGTATATCTTCTACAAGTCTGTTCTGACAAACACTCGTTTCTGGCCAGCGCTAACTTCTTACTTGGCGTCTGGTGAAAATAGTCCAATGGTGAACATATAGATTACCTCGAGGTGTACCCTGAATGTACAACTTAGTGTTAACGAAGAAAGGGGCAGCATCGAGAATGGTGACCTCAAGCCAATGATCAACCAACTGACCTTAGTTAAAGATAAGTTAATGACACTTTCATCATATGTGACACTATACTTGGTACACTAGAAATTCTGAAGAGTTCTAATCACTTTCATTCATCACTAGAGCTTAAAATAGAAAAGAATTAAGTTATAAAATTTCATTCCTAGGTGTTCTATTGACGAGGAGAGACAATGGCACACTGAAAAGGCTGATAAGCGTAGAAGCGACATGGAGTGAGTAGTTGACAAACTTCTACAGACTGAATAGAAGACGAAATGAGTTTTTTTAAACCCACATTTTGAAAAATGGATACCCATTATATTTCACTGAAAAAAATGTGAAACATAGGCACACTTTAACAACCATCAGCACCGCTCCAAAGATATTGTTCTTGAATTTAGAATTCAAGAAGGATACTGCTGACGATATTTTGAAAACCCATCTGGAAAGATTGATTCGTAAGACGTTTCATGCAGCAAACATATCATTCGCTTTTACAGTGCGGATATTGAATGGTTCAAAATGTAGTTTGAAAGAAACGGAATGCCTTTTGTAAACTGAAATCATTTGCATGAGTTGTAGAGTCAAAAGAAGTTGAAAAAACGTATCATTTACTTATAACAAAGAGAACCATCATGAAGAGTAGAGAATAAGTAGGATAAACTTGGATATTAATTGGTGTGTTTTGGTGATCCAGAACTACCCACACTGTAAACGGCTTCCAACCGATGGGTCATGGGTTCAAGGCTCGCTCCGATTGACAAGGTTTGAGCAACCAGGTAGTATCACTAGCCCTCATACAATAGGTGTGGCCTACTGTACGAATGCCCACAAAGTTGCTGAGGGCATTTTGAATTTGAACGTGATAAAAGAAATTAGCTAGGGTTGACAGTCTCATTGACTTAAAAGTGGAAGCAAACACAGTAATGTGTGGGATGTGGCTCCAAACTGTCACGTTTTTCAATGAGCACGTTATCATTTAATAACTGGGTTGCAGACTAATGGTTCATACTTTTTAAATTCTATCAATTGGTAGAGCATTCATCTAGTGTCAATCAGTGGTGACACCTTACTTTACATCGAAATTCGTTCACCGCACACGACACTATTACATCACGATTTAACTGAAACCGAGAATAAGAACAGACAGCAACTTACTGGCTCAAAGGCAAATATACACCACATAGACTTTCAATTTGAGATATTCCAAAGCAAGGGGAAACATTTGTTTATTACTCTAAAATACTATTGTTTCATCTTGAACAACTAAGCATGCAAATAAATAAATAAAATTCTGTTTACCAGCTTACACGAGGTGCTTTATCTTCATAAAGTCCATGAAGTACATAACGAATTAAAGATGTACAAACGGTGTATACAACCCATGGATCTCGGCAAGCCATATGCATATCTCTACAAAGCGATTGAACAAATAAGACGAAATTGATAAGTACTTGAGTTATTTCCAAATAGAAGTAAATTTCGAGTTAATTTTCTTCCTGTCAAATGTTACAATGACTTTCTGAATTAACACTGAAGGTTGTGGATGTGGTTCATTTCCTAAGCAATTCCAAAACTATGAGTGCGGGATTTTAATCTCACTCTGATGATTCTAGTCTGGACAACCAGGTAGTGTCAAAAATCCTCACATAGAAAGAGTATCTTACAGCCTGATACGTGTTCGAGTTGCATTTACAACATTACAGATATCAATTAGCATATCACTGAAATGTCCATCAGTAACACCCTTAGTTTAGAATTTATTTCCATTTCGATATCAATGTCCTGATTCATATAATTACAGCTATCTCACACATGTTGGTAGCCACATTAAGAAAGAAATTAGTGTATCCAAATAATCACCATGTGATTAGTTGTAATCACTGCTGGGAAAACAAGTTAAATCATCCAAGCACATAATGTACTTTAACGTTCAGACGTGTTATTTCAAAACATACTTTAGACTTCAAGTCAAAAGCATTGAGAAGTCATTAAAATGAATGCCAGATAATTGTTTCATTCTTATCTCGCACCACCATGAGGTTCACATTTTTCTATGTAAAACTAAGGATTCTGAAGCGTAAGAAAGACAAGTGTTTACTACTAATGGCTTTAACGCACGACAGCTATCTTAATTTCCTATAAGACCCCCCCCCTCAGTTGAAGTCTGTTCGATGTAAGATACTGTCTAGCTGATTACCTTCCTCCAACTACCAAGTAGAACAGCTAACTGTTTCTGTCAACCTGACTTCAAACTAATCAGTAAAGTGAACAAACTTTACTACTTTCTGGTGTATGATAATATCTTGTATTCAACAAAGTAATTCATGAAAAAGGATAACTTTCTGACTAGTTTTTATCAAAGATTTGGTTTGTAATGCACAACAAAGGTGTGTTAAAACACTGTTTAATCATAAAGACTGATTTTGTTAATCAAATTCTACTTAATTATATTTAATACTAGTCTACTTAATGCAGCACGCTGTGATCTAGTATCGTTTACCAGGTGAAATTTCAACATTTCACTACTCATAATTATATCATGGTACTCACAAATTTGCAGCTTCGCTGTTTACAGTTCAACTACTTTTCTCAGTCGGATTAGTTGGTAAAAGGATTTTCATATAATTAGAATAGGTCATGAGTCCTTCCAGTTACACGTGTCAGGAGTTGAACCCAACAACAGGTAACTGGTGATCAATCCCTACCTTCCCCTACCAAAAGCAGCAACCTAAAGGTGGTGGTAGGGCTTGCTTATCACAATGACCGAACGAGCTACGCTGGTGAAACGTTTATTCCCTCGATCCCCTAACATACCACAATGATCTGGATATTGGTGAGACAAAAAGCAGTTACCGTTACAGTGTAAACTTTTACGCTATGATGAGCTTCAAACGAAGAAGTCGTACTTTTAGCTGGATAGTAATGTGATAGAGGAAGGTGTTTCCCTTGGATGACTAGAAGCACTACGATGATGCTGACTTCCCAATGGAATGAGGGGCTAGAAAAGATCGACCCTAGAAGTAGCGAACTCTTCTACCCCCGAAGCATAATGGTATTGGGTCAACATTCGGATTTGCACATAACAAAGTAAACTATCGAACTTCTAGAAGGGCTATTTGTGACAGGCCTCAAATAGATGTCTCTTGGGCTCTTTGGTCACATTCCTCTACTATTAATACCGATTCCTTTACGGATACTTCAAGAAGAAACCGTTTAGGATGAAGGTAGGCAAAAGTAACAACCACACTCACAACTATATCAGTACTCAAGTTACTAGAGATCACTGTCCATCTCCCACGTTTTTAACTTCTAATCTGCCTTCACGTCTCTCAAAAAATATTCCTACAGTGTCCTTAATTTCTCCCAGGTCTACAGCTCTCAAAGACGATCTGAGTTCACAGAACAGCACCGATGTCTCCTGAAACCACGCTCCAAATTACGCATTAAAGCTTTTCATGTCCGAACCGTCCGTCCGATCGGCCAACAAGCTTTACTAGCTAAAACTCTAGCAACTTGGGTCAATATGGGGAATCCTCAAATTTCACCCTTCGAGTTCCTGAAAATTGAATGGCCAGTTCTCACGATCTTTCTGGTGTAGATTTGGCATTAGGTGCTACGGTAGAAAGTAATCTGCTCAACTGGATCCAAGTTGGCAGTTGCATATGCGCTGTTTGAATCGGTATGCAGTGTGAACTGAAAAGAATAGCGAAACTCTTTGTTTTCTCTTTATAACCTCTACTCACACACCCACTGAGTGAATTCCAGAAGTGAAGGATAAGTTCTACTAAAAACGATTTAGCCTTCTTCTGAAAGCCAAGCGCCCAGAGGTGGTAGTTGTTGCAGGTAGTTCCAATGCTTAAGTAGGTGGGCTAAGTCAGACAAAAACGCACTTCAGTGGTACTTTGAAATCTAGGCCGACGAAAAATAACGATGATCGCCTCCTACAACTGTGCTCAAACAACCACCAATTTCTAGGAAGCAAGAACTCCAAACATAAATAGAGAAGTTCGCGTGATATCCACAGAGCTCGACACAGCGGGGGACACAAATAGACCACAATGCTATCAGTCATCTCTGCAGGGGGTCGGTGGACGACTGCAGCACCTCGTTGGACAGTGGCCATGCATATATCTGCGACTACAGAGACGTAGGAGGACTGCAGCAACAAGACCATTACGAGCGGAGATTGACGACGAGAATTGTCGGCATATAACAACGTCTCTCATATGGAAGGAGATTGGCATCATTTGCAGTCTGTCGTGAAAACAATATAAATGCCACAACTGATCCATAGTAAGAGGTCGGTGGATTTCAGCAGTTTCTTCTGAAATAATGAATGTCAGTGCATTCCTTCCTGCAGGTTCATAGGAAACGAGGAATGGAAGTACTCAAACGTAAACAGGCAGGAAGTCTCTGTAATGACTGTGAGCAGTGGTCGGTGGCAAATCCTTGAGTATGAAAAGGCACCTGTGATAGATAACAGCAGACGGTTATTTAGACTAATGATGCCACTGGGAATAAAAACATCAATCCTTTTTGAGAATACAGCAGTGAACCACGGTCTGTAATTTACTCCCAAGGAAGAAAACCGAAAAAGGGGTATAACGTTAACATTTAGTTGCAAAATATCAAGTCAGTTTCTAAATAGAACTCTAAGATTAACTCTCCAATTCCTGCAGACGTAGAGAAGGCTGTAAGTAATGTGAAATGAATAACAGAACCAAAGCTCAAAGAAGTCAAAAGTATTTAGGGACGGCAGTAAAGGAAAACCGATTGCATTAACAAAGACAGAAAGACAAAACCAACGTATAACCTCGCACACAGGTGTATCGGTTCCAGTTGCCACACTCTAAAGTAGTATACAAGAAACGGGTATGCAGAATAAGAGTGATTCCAAAGTAGACATACTGTGTCAGAGAATAAACAAACTTAAGACAACGGTTAATGCAAATATTCAAGCTTTAGATGTCAACAAGTGAATACATTTGGGCCATTGTGACCGACTTTCAGCCACTCACCAAGACTCCTCAGCCACTAATTCCTTTTGTCTCAGGGACCCCAACCAAGCATCTAGTCTACATCTCCTCACATAGATTAGACCAACAGTTAGAGACTTAGTTGACTGATGTCACGTCTTGGTCTAACCACATTGAACCCAGTTCCAACCCAATCCAGCCATACCTAGCATGACACGTCGAGGTAGGAAGTAACTCAGCGTGCACAGAACATGTCAAACATACTCAGATTTCTGCTCAACGCGTTTAGAGGACCTGTATTCTGTCAGCATCTCCACCTAGCAGGATAGTATCGTCTGCATACTTCAAGTCAGCCAGATGACCTTCAGGTAGCAGGCCAGTCCCCGTGACGACAGACGTACCTAAAGTTATGTCCACTAGTAAGTTTATGATGAAGTTAAATAGGAAAAAAACAGCAGGCATCCCGTGGAGGACACCATTAGTTTTCTTCGATTCTGATGAAAACTATCCATAACCCCTTATAAAGCTGCGTGAGTTCGGATCGAGAGCTTTGACTAGTGGTACGTACTTTCTTGGTACAACTTTCACATCCAGGCACCAACACAACACCTTACGGTTGAGAGAGTCAAATGCCACCTTTAGGTCAAGAATACTCCAATTGTCAGCCACCAGCCAGTAGGTATCAATGTGTTCCAGAACCTGTTACATGGTGAAAATCTGATCTACGCACCCTCAATCAGGTCTGAAATCCCCCTGGTTTTCTCGAGTTTGCTGTTCTGGAGCTCCAGTTAGACGTCGGATAATCATGAACCCTACGATCTTGGATACAATAGTGGTCAAACTAATTGTCACAAGACTTCTGTCCCTTCCTATAGACTGGGATGATCAATGAAGTAGACCAGTCTGGTGGCACCACCTCTGATTCCTATACACTACCTAGTACCTCCGTCAACCTAGTCAGTAACTCCCTACCTCCGTCCTTGAAAATTGTAGGTGTCAAACTGCCAACTCCTGCTGCTTTTCATCGTTTCAGGTTCGACACAGCTTTCTCAACTCCAAGGAGTTGGAGGACCGACATCTACCTAATATTCATATTGAGGTTAGATGTTGAGCAATTGAAACGTTGCTGAGGTCCAATTGAGCTGTGCTTCAAAGTATTCTATCCAACACACTAGCCACCTTTCCAGGAGGTTATCAGCGTCTCATCCTTTTTAGTTACGGTTTCACTCACCATCTTCTTTTTGCCAGCATCCTTAATGACTCTGAATAGTTGCCCGGTGTTACCCAACGTTGATGTCTCCTCTATTTCTCGTGATCATTGCAAAGACTCTTCACCAACTTACTTTTAAGTTGCTTTCGCTCTTCATCGTAGTCAGACTCAGCTTTAATCAGTCTTCTCGCATGACGTTGCAGAAATCCAATGAGATTTAATAACCTTTGGTGTAGATTACCAACTGTCTTCACCGCTGTTTCTACAGCACACTGAATATCACACCAGATTTCTTTGGATGAGCATTCCTGGTCACGTTCAGATAAGTGCGTAGCTAGCTTCCTCTATAAATGGGTACTTGATATCCTCATTTTCCATCCGAACATAGATAGACCTCACTGCCTCCCGTTTTCCTGCGACAGTAAGGCATAGACATACATGAGCCCGTACAAACAGGTACTCCAGAAAGAAAAGCAATCCCCTAAGGATCCTCTCCAACGGCAGCTTATTGCGATATGATCTGCGCGCATTGTTGGTTTGATGTTGGCGGACCCCGTGTAAAACAGAATCACTCTCTTCTTATGTCTAAAGTTAGTGCTGTTCAGAAACAAGTGATTTTGGGAACAAAATTGCAACGGATGATCACCGTTGTCGGTTCATTGGCATGGGATTCCGTAGATACCTTCAAGACACCTTTTGATTGGCTCAGTTATGCTACTTGAGCGTTCAAGTCACCTGCGAATATGACTACATCTGAACGTTTCTTTCTGTAGCAAAATTGACAGCTTTTCATAAAATTCATCCTTTGCACTATCCGAACTACAGATGGTGGGTGTAAAGATGGAGATTACAAATAGGCATCAGTTAGTTTCACGATCCTTCCTAGTTCTTACAGATCCATTCAGTCGAACAGCACATAGATGTCTATTAACTGGTATCCACTTGAGAAGCGCACTTTCTGTCCTACAGCCCAATGCTATGTTTACACCAGCGAGAGCTAGCCACTAGGTCTCCAGATACTCTTAAGATGAATTTTAGAGATTCACTATTATGACCAAGTTAAAAACCACACTCGGGTTATGTATGCATGTCTGAGAAACAGTGTACATCCTAGGCTCAAGATTTTAGCGTTCTGGTGGGCGATGCATGATATCTGATTTTGCGTTGAGTTCGGACGATGAAAACCATCATATGAAGTTGACAACGGGGGCTTAAGAGACTACGAATGAGGTTTCGATGATTTTGATGGTTGAAAGTGGGCAGAGTGAGGTTGAAGAAATTATAAGAGGCTCGATACTGGTATCAACAGAAGAAGGCAATGGCGGAGGATAGGTTACGATTGATTCAATCTTGTATAATACTGGAAGCATAAGGGTGGTTGACACTTCTCTGCTCCCAATACCGTGAAAGTTGTTTCTGAAATGGACCTTAGAAGAGGATTTTTGACCACAGAACCCATGGAACACCTGCTCGAGGCCTATCACACATAGCTTTTTCAGGACTGTTAATATGAGTTTTGATTGCTCTAACGCCTGATACACCAAACCTAACCACCGGCACCGAACGACCGTAGGGCAGAGTGGAGTCCTCTATCTTTGGGCAAACCTTTTCTAACTCATAGGGAAGTCAGCATCATCGTAGTGCTTCTAGTCATCCAAGGGAAACACCTTCCTCTATCACATTACTATCCAGCTAAAAGTACGACTTCTTCGTTTGAAGCTCATCATAGCGTAAAAGTTTACACTGTAACGGTAACTGCTTTTTGTCTCACCAATATCCAGATCATTGTGGTATGTTAGGGGATCGAGGGAATAAACGTTTCACCAGCGTAGCTCGTTCGGTCATTGTGATATACAAGCCCAACAACTACATCAAAGCAGCAGCTAACGGTCGGTTCCTACTAGATAGGTTGCCACCAAATCCAAAAATAGGCATCCGAAGTACAACAATAGGCTAAGATAGGTTAGTAGCAGAAGTATTTCATGACAGCGTTAAAGGGAAATCAGTTGGATTAACAAAGACATTAGCTAGCGTATGAAAATCAGATGTGATTCTCTCGGAATCCCCTCTATCATTTATTGTCCAAGTCTTCAAGAAAAGAAATAAATTCAGCAACAATAACCACAAAATAAATCTATTTGACCAAAATGCCATCTAAGATCTTAGCTCCGATAATCATTAAACGTCTACATAAAGCTCATGAACAACAAAACACAGAAAACCACGAGTTTGAAACCTGGTTCTGGGTTTATCCACTAGATATTTACCCGAAACCACATTTTGAACCCCGCACAGGAACACTTACTAGCACTCAGCACTAGCCAAATTCCTTGAACTGAAGGTGGAAATTAACTATAACGACTGACAGGTCATATGGCAGTTTCTGCAACTAAAAGGTGTGTTCCGTAAATATATCACTCTGTTCGAGCAACCGAAAATCGTCGCCTCTGTGTGGATGTTTTCTATCGGATATATGGCTGAAATGTTTTAGAGAACACTCATTTTAATATGGTTTATTTTTGCGTATTTTTGCTGGGTTCCTGTTTTTCTAATCTAAAGGACTCGAATCGACTAGTTAGCCATCGGTAGGTATTCATTCGGCAGATAAATTTTGTCTTATTTTATCGATAGAATCCTTAAGCCAAAGAATGTGATCAGTGAGTGAATTTGTAGTTTTGAATGCTACTATAATTTCGGTTTTACTGAGAGTAGTATGTAGGGTTCCATATGAAGGAAAGGGTACAATAAACCCTATGATGAAACACTTTGGGGCACATGTCATTGCAGTTACATCTTCAGTAATCAGCAAAAAGACTTAATCCATCAAAGACAATGCAAAATTCAGATAGTGAATAAATAATGAAGACATATTCTTGTTTGAACTTGTTTCTAAATATTTCTATGTAGAATAGAATTGGATGATTATAAGTGTGATAACTGATTAAAGCAGGGAATTTACTAACTGTTCAAAAACTAAGATGTTACAATGAGAAAAGAAGTAAACTAACCTTTCCAACAAATTTGCATCACATATTCTCTCCATATCATTCGAATCACAACTCTTTTCCACAACACTTGAGGGAGACCGTTTTGGCTGGTTTTATTACTTTTGAAATTTTTCCCACGATGATCAGAACTCCCACGTTTAGATACTTCACTGCTATTGCCACCTCCATTCCCTTCACAATCTTCTTGTAACTCTTTCTCTTCATCAACTGTTTCTTTCGCCCATCGACGGCGTTGCAGCTGTAAATGATAAGCCAATTCACTAGCGTGTCTTTGATCAATTCTACGATTTCGAACACATGCATCTAAACACCAAACAAAGCGATGTATTCTATCAGGAACACACAAACGATCGATTTTAGCTTCATTCAAGCTCATTAATAGATCAAAACGTAATGTACAAAGAGTGGCAGAAGCAACCGAAGGTTGATTAGGCATAAAAGCTAATGGGATATACGGGATGGATGGATTAACGGGAATCTGTACTTCTAAATGTTTCTCTTTACTTGACGTACGAAGCCGACTTCGCTTGGCTGCTGGTTCATCAGTTTCCTCAGTTGAATTATTGGATAGGTTGCTACCAGTCACTGAAGTGATTTGCTGTTCCATAAGTGCATAGGCTGATTTTTCATATTTTGTACATTCATCTCGAAGAATACTTATAGTCTAGAATGGAGGAGAGCAGAAAGCAAATGTGTAGAAAATTAGGTGAATGACATCATCAGTAAGACATTACGTACAATCGATTAAAGTACATCCTATTATCTACAAAGGTGTGTCAATGATTTTATTAAACTGTACTCCATAACTTGAAATACATGAAAGATAAAGACTTAAAATCACATTTCAAACACTAAACGTGATTCCTCAACAAACAATTATGAATGATATATGACTACCATTATTTTATTATTTGTACTTTGTGTTCCTAGAGCGACACAGGGCTTCAGTAGCCCGCTTCCATCGCACTCTGTTCTCTGAAGTCCTTTCAACCTCCCTCCATGACTGACCACAAGCTTTCATTTCTTCCTCACACCATCTCCTCCATGTTACCCTCACTTCAGACACCCAATTCGTCGTTCCCCCCTCGCATTCCACTCGACGGCCTGGCCTGACGCCTGATGTCCCCAATCGGTCTTCTCAGTGTATGCCAAATCCAATCCAAACCATTCCATTTCCACTTACTTCTGCATATTTATCGGCCGACGGGTTCTTGGTTGGTTCACTGCCAGTCAGCCAGCCAGAGTTCCCTTGTTGCTTATTCTTACTATTCTCGCCATCTGATATTCAGTGTCAGTATCCAATGAATGTAGGTGGCAGCTGTTGATGAATGTCTGTAGTTTGCTGTAAATGCTTTTCGTGAGGCGCCAAATTTCTGAACCATATAGCAGCATTGACTTGACGTTGGTGTTCAAACTCGGATCTTGTTCACGCTTTATGTTCAGTGCAGTGCAGTAGATCTCCACACTGATTTCAGGTTAATTAAGGCCTATCCTGATGACTTTTCGATCGTGGTTTTGACACCCTTATCTGTACCTGTGCCACCTGTAGTTCAAATGATATTGCCTAGGAAGGTAGGTGAAAGAGACTACTTCACTCAGCTTTCTCCCGTTCATGCTGATTGGTGCTTGTTGTTCATGCTGTTGATGGTTGGATATCTTCATCACCTCCGTCTTCTCTACATTCACTCGAAGTCCCGTTTCCGCTGCCTCACCTCTTCTGTCAACTTGTTGGTTTCTGCCTGTAGATCTTCGAGTTTGTGCGACGTAAGTCAATAGACATAAATCATCATCATCATCGTTGGGGGGTGAAATCCAAATTTTCGTCTGAGGTCTTTTCTTCATCGGTTCAGCCAGCGTATGCCCCACTTCTCACTCCTCACGGTTTGCTGCATCATCCAGTTCAGTCGAGTCGACCACAACCAGGAAGATGATGGGTGATAGTAGACAGCCTTGTCGTATCTTACTCCTCTCTGTCTTTACTTCAAAGGCGTCACTGAGCTTCCCATTGTGAATCATATGGCATATGATAAGTGTGATACGAGGATGAAACAGCTGTCTAGTGCTCCCAGATTTTCAATGGTTCCCCAACTGATATCAGTCCATGATGAATACTACTTCTAAATTAAGAATCCCCTTTCATCTCAAAAATGTGATAAGTGTTTGTAGCACTAAAACCGTAGTTTTGAAGTAACTTCCAAATTACTTCTCGTTCGACGCTATTGAAGCAAGGCCTTTTCAACGTCGATGAAGTTGAGGTAGAGAGTTGACTGCCATTCTATACTCTGTTCTATGATGATGCGTAGGCTAGCATTGCAATTTGATCCGCACATGATTTGTTCTTCCTGATGGCAGCCAGCCAGCCTGTTACGGTCGTAATTTTGAATGCAGAGCACTTTTTAGTCTCTGCAAGGTGATGCGGCATAATATTTTGCTTGCTTGGGGTGAACAGTTCTTGCAAAGACTTAGGTCTCCGTTGTTTGGGAGTTTCACAATGTAGCCCTTCTCCTACTCGACATGTACCTCCCCTGTTTAAATTCCAAACCTTCTGCAGTGGATATGTGTGAGCATGTCCGTCGCTGTTGTCTCTGCGTCTGTTTTCACTGCTTCTGGTGGAATTCAAACTGGTCCCACTGCTTCCTCGGATTTCAGCAGTTTTATGGCATTCAGGACTTTTTCTTTCGTCGGACTGCTTGTGCTTACTGATAGTTCTTTGGCTGAGCTGCTGGTTGTATTTCTGGACGAGTTGCATTTGGTGGTGGTCGATTCGAGAGCTTTTGAAGTAGTTAGCTTATCGTTTCCTCTGTGTCTCCTCTCTGGTGGTAACTAGGTTTCCTTCACTATCTTCCACTGATTTCGCCTGCGTTGCTCTTTTCAGATGGTAACTTGGTTATTTGATTTAATGTTGTCAGGTCTCTGTCTCTCTTATCTGCAGCCTGTTCTGCTTCACTTGCCAATGTGTATTTTGTCTTTCTGAGCACTCTTCTTCACTTCTTTGTCCAGCGTAGTGTTTTATACCTCGTACTCAGTTCTTCTTTTCGTTGTTCATCCCTGCTGCACTGCACTGCACTGGTTCATCTGTTGCTTCACCATCTTCCTCTCCCTCCTCTATCAGCTTCCATGTGTCCACCCACATCTATTCATTGTCTTCTCTCCTCTTCCTTTCTAATAAGGTTGTGCAGGTTTATTTCCACACAACTTTCAAAGAGTTCCAGTGTTATTCCACTCCCGATCCTTCATGGATGTTGCTCAATATCTCCCATCTTTTCCTGATGACTGACTGACGTGAAGATATCCTTTGAAGTTTCATCCTTCACTTCACTTTCTGTTCTGTGTGTTCAACTTCAACTCTAGTCTATCACCATCTTCTTCAAAGGCTTTCAACTTCATTTTGAAGGCAGCTTCCTTACACTATTCAGTGAGTGGTGTGAATCTACCTACATCTGCTCCTCTTCTTCATCTCATCTTGTGTCCAGTAGGCAGGCTGCGTCTCCACTTTCTTCACATTGACATGCAGTCGATCTGATTTTTAGTGTGTCTCGTGTCTGCTGATATCAAATCCATGTCGCTGCCTTGTGAATATCCTTGTGTTTGCACACACTGCCTCGCCTCCAATCACCAAATCACTAAATGCTCAGGAGTCTGCAAACAGTTCTCCATTCTCATTCTTCATTTCACCGAGTGCTTCTCAACCCATGTTTGGTTCTCTTCCTGTGTTGTCTGCTCCCAGTTTAACATTCATGTCACCCACTCATCAGGATTTTGATGTCGCCATTCAAGATGGTGTCTTGTCTAGTACTGATTGCAATTGTCTGTAGAATTCCTCCTTCTTCTCTTCATCTGCATTATTTGAAGGTGCGTAGTGTAGTGTAGCATTGTATGATTGTGACTTTCCTTCCTTTCGAGTTGAATCCATCTTGCTGTCATGATTCTGATCGTTGAGGAGATTGGTGTCCACTGCATGAGAGACAGTCTTCGATGCTGTTGGGGACATCATGATAGTCACTCGAAAACTCAGTGTGCTGGTGATTGTCATTAGGGTGACAATATCGGGGTAGATTAATTGACTCCTCTCCAATTGAAAGTTTGGAGAGTCCACTTCCATTCCATCTGCATTCGCAGATTCCTAGCACTTCCATGCCATACATTCTCATCTCTTTTGCAATCTGGACAGCCTTGCTAGGTTTATACATGGTGTGGACATTCCATGTTCCCATCCTTACTTCGCTTTCACCATCTGGGGTCATTTCGTCTCACTGATTCTAGCGAAGAATAAGTTTATTTCTATTTTTTATATTTTGTTTGTGCTTTGAAGTTTGTTTAGCGATTTGGATTGGTTTTTCGGGGTAGGGCTGCTAGCCCTATGCCCAACCTTCCCTCTCTATCCGGGCTTAGAACGGGCTAGTAACTAGTGTACTGGTTAACCAGACGAGGTTGAGATATGACTTATTGGCAAGTATCAAAGTAATTTTTGTGAGAGATTGACAGATGCTGACACCAAAAGTGAGGAGTGCCCTTTTCTATTGATCTGTGATTGTCCCTATTAGTGAAAAACTTAGTTACTGTCGTTTTACAGCAATTATCCGGCATTCATTCGCGAAACAAGATGAATATTCACTAACTGCGCGAAAGCGGTAGTTGATTAAGTGGGTTAGAAGGATAAAGACAAGCTTTGATGTGTGTCCGTTCCAGTCTACGCGCAACTAATAGGCTATAAGGGAACGAAAAGTGAGTTATGCTATGACTTTTATGCATGTATCAAAAAGTAAATAATACTATGTCGCTGTGTTTTATAAATCAAATAAACAAATCTAATATGGAGTTAAATGCAACCCACAGTGCCCAAGTTTTACATCTGTATTAATGAAAAAAGTAAAATGTATTGTCGTCTCCTGAATCTTCAGCAGATATGACTATATGTAAACAACCTTATAAGTTTACTTTTCCGAATCTTATAAAGCTAGTGAAATATAGTCACCTTATCATATAAAACTTGACCTTCTCCAATCATTTCAACAATTCGCACAATTGATGGATCACGTCTACGTCGACGAGGTGGCCAATAGAGTATAGGGACAAGATCAGCTGTAGTTGAGGCGGTGGACATAACTGACATTGAAAGAGCATCCAAAATAGCAGAAGACCATGTGGATTGAAATGTGGCTACAACTTTGTCTAATTCTTCTTGGAATCTATTGAAAAATCAATTGGAAAAGTAAGAACATGAGTAAAACGGAGATTAACCAATCAGAAGAAGACAGGAAAAATAACTAGATAAGAAATAAGTAAAATGAGATCATATACACTACCCATGAGACAATCACTGTCTCAATCTACTACGGAAGTCACAGACGCAAGTAATCCAAGCTAACAGTAATTACAGAACAAGAACGAATGTCGTCAAAAAACATTCAGACCATAGTAGTTACGGCTGTTTTACTGAAGAAGTTGGGGACTACACAGTGAAAACATTTAGAAAAATTTTTTGGTTTTTTTAAACACGCTAAGATTCTTTCAGTAACTATTTTCTTATGATAAATGCTGGAATTATAATTTACTGCAGCCATCGTCTTAAATGAGACCTAAAAATTAAAAGTAAACTCATCAAAAACACTCTGGAAGTAATTACATCTTATAGCATTTACAGTCTTCGGCTTACACAGTGCCGATATGCAAGGCATGACTGATGATCTGCGTTATGTGAACAAGTGTAAACTTAACGGTCAGAGACTGTAGACCAAGTGGCTCAAAATCAAACCTCATTTCCACTTAAATTGCAATACCACATGTCAACTGGATTTTTATGAATATCAGCACTATTTTCCTGTTATTGACTTCTCCTTTGATATGGGGTGTGACAACCTGGACGCTGTGTAAGTCTGTGTTTACGTCTTATATGTATAAAAACAAAATATTTCAACGGGTAACATCTGAGTTTTTTCTGAAAACAACTATTTATTAAAATCTGAGTGCATCTAATATCTAATCTCGGTTATCGACCTAAGTTGATTGGCTATCTGGATCAAAATCAAAGATCACCATCTTCATGTGATAATATACCAACTGGGACATTTGCGCTTTAAAGTTTTATTATGCCAGAAATAAACTCACAAACAGCATACGAGTTCATGTAATGAACTACTTGACACACCGCCTCAGACTAATGATGCAACCCAACTCAATACTCACTAGTTGGTATGGGATTAAAACCTATCACTATAAAGTAGTCTCAAGATCAATAAAACAGGAAGATTGACTGGACAGTGGTAAGAACAAATGTAGCTCTTGCCACAGTGAAATAATTCCAGAGTGGTTGGGTTTTAGACAGAGGAATTCGTCCATTTAACTCAATGCGATGGTAATAAGGTAAGTTAAATGGACGACGGTAATAAGGTGTTTCCCGACCGATAGCTGCTAACTTGACGTGGTGGTTGGACTTGCATATCACAATGACCGAACGAGCTATGCTCGTGAACCACTTGTTCTCAGAAAGGTCTGTTGGATAGTGGTTAGACGAAAAGCAGTTACCGTTGTGGTGTAAATTACTACACTATGATGGGGCTGAGAGCGAAATCGTACTGCTGCTAGCTGGATGGGGTGTGACAGCAGTAAGGTGTTTTCCTTGGATGACCAGCAGTCCCATGCTAATGCTGCCTTCTCAGTGGAAGGGGAGGGGGGTTAGAAAAGGTCAGACCCAAAAATAACACACTCCACCATGCCCCACGGTCTGCCGGACCGGCGGTGTTGGTTCATTTGTCGTTTCTTTTCCACCATCCGGCCACAAAAATACAAAAGTTCAAAATAACCACACACAAAAAGCTGGCTGTGACAGGCTTCAAGCAGATGTCCGATGGGCTCTGCGGTCACATAAATCTCTTTCAGGTACCTTAAGAAATAGCCTTCCATGGTGTGGGCAGCCGGGAAGTGTCAACCACCCTCACAACTCTGTCAGCACCCAAGTTTCTTCAGACTGCTATCCACCTCCCCCATCATTACCTTCTAATCTTCCTTCACATCTCTCAACTAACGATACATCATCTTCAATTTCTCCTAGCTTTGCAGCCTTCGACAACGATCTGAGTCCACAAAACAGCATCCTTAGTCTCCTTAAACCACGCTCCAAATTACATATTGGAGCCTTCAATGTCCGCACCCTCCGTCAAATTGGTCAGCAGGCTTCGTTGGCAAAGACTTCAGCCACATGGACCAGAGATGTGTGCTGTGTTTGTGAGACTCGCATACAGGACCCAAGTGGGGTTACTCACCTGACCTCTTCCGACTAATCTGGTGAATCCGCAAAATTCACCCTTCGAGTTTCTAGAGATTCGATAGCTATTTCTCATGGTCTTGCAGGTGTAGGGATAGCACTAAGCACTAGGGCAGAAAACTCACTACTAAACTGGATCCCAGTTGATAGTCGCCTCTGCACTATCCGACTGAACGGCACAGTGAGAACTAAAAGGACTAGTGAGACTCGCCGTTGTCTCTTTGTAATCTGTGCTTACGCACCCACTGACTGCAGCTCGGATGAAGTAAGGGACGAGTTCTACCGTAAACTGTCTAGCCTCCTCTCAAAAGCCAAACGTTCGGACGAGGTGGTTGTTGCAGGTGACTTCAACGCACAAGTCGATAGACTGAGTGAGGCAGAAAGGCACTTAGGTGGCACTTTCGGAGTCCCAGCTGAACGTACAGATAACGGTGATCGCCTACTACAACTATGCTCAGATAATCGCCTATTTTGAGCTAGCACCAATTTCAGACATAAAGGAAGACACTATCTGACGTGGTGTCCACCAAGCTCAACTCAGCGATGGACACAGATAGACTACATTGCTATTAGTCATCGCTGGAGAGGATCGGTAGAAGGCTGCCACTCATTCCGGAGTATGTGTTTGGATAGCGACCATACGTTAGTCTGAGCGTGTACATGCCTACGTCTCACTGGACGTAAATAATATTTGGCAACAAAACCACTACGAGTGCTGTTGGACAACGAAAACACCAAAGCCGTGTTCAGAGAGAAGTTGGCTAGGCAGTTATTGGAACAAAAGACCATCACTCATCCAGAAGTTTGGTGCCACCTTTAGTCTTCTGTGAAAGCAGAGCTGAAGACCGTAGCCGACTCCAGAATAGTGGCTAAAAAGAGCCAGTGGATATCAGCAGCTTCTTCTGAACTAATGGATGCACGTGAACGCATCCCTACAGGCTCTGAGTACAATAAAGAGCGAGCGCAACTAAAAAGTAGGTTGAGAAAAAGTCTATGCAACGACTGCGAACAGTGGTGGGGAGTGAAGGCTAAAGAGCTGGAAAAGGCAGCGGCGACTGGTAACAGTAGACAGTTATTTAGACTTATTAAGGAAACTGGGGGGAAAAGGTCAGTAACAGTTAGTGAGGCTGTAGAAGAGAAGGACGGATCTGCGATTCACTCGCAGGGCAGACGACTGGAACGATGGGCAGAACACTTCGAGGAACAGTTTAAGTGGCATCCAGCCACCACTGAGTTGCCCGCTATCCAATCGGATCCTGAATGGAACGTTGAGATAGACCCCCCAACACTTGCAGAAGTCGAAAAAGCAGTAGGTAACCTGAAACGAGGAAGGGCGGCAGGACCAGACGGACTTACTACAGAGGTACACAAGCATGGTGTCAAGGTGCTCTTAGTCAGGTTGACGGAAGTGTTAACCAGTATATTGGAATCAAATACGATCCCCTCTGACTAGTTTAAAATCACTGGTTACCCCAGTCTTCAAGAAAGGCGAGAACTCCTCTTGTGATAACCACAGAGGAATCAGCCTGACGGACATAGTGTCCAAGATCCTAGGTTCTATAATTCTTCGACGCCTGAGTGGAGCTCGGGAACACCAAGCCCGAGAAAACCAGGTAGGCTTTAGACCCAGCTGTAGGCGTATCAACCAAATATTTACACTGAGCCAGGTTCTGAAACATAAACACGGCTACCGTCGCCCCGCAATAGCTGCATTTCTCGACCTGAAGGCGACATTCGAGAAGTCTTATGGCAATGTCTCTCACTGAAAGGCGTGCCGAGTAAGTACATCACTTTATTGAAGGCTCTCTACTCGAACACTTGTTGGCGTGTTAGAGCCTATGGTGAGATGACCATGGAGCTATGCTCATCGAGTGGTGTCCGTCAAGGGTGTCCACCCTCTCCATTCTCATTCAATTTCATCATAGATATCTTAATGGAGGTCTCCATCTCATCACCTGATTATACAGACGTTGACCTAATCGCAGGCGAATTTCCCTTAGACCTAGAATATGCAGATGACATAGTCGTGTTAGGTGAAGACGCTGATAAGATGCAGAGTCTTCTGAACACTTTGAGTAGCAATCTGAGAATGTTTGGGATGCGTTTTTCACCACTCAAATGGAAATTGTCGCCCCAGGATTGGTCTTCAACGGTGCCCCACTGCGGCTAACAATAGAGAGTGTAGTGATTGAGTGTGTCGACCACTTCACTTACCTGGGAAGTAGGATCAGCCCTGGTGGCTAGCTCAGTGGCCGATGAAATCTCTGCACGGATACAAAAAGGTCAGTTGGCTTTTGCCAACTTACGCCACCTATGGCATGGCGCCTCCGTGATGTCCGTTTGTCTGTTAAGGGTTGCGTGTACTGCACAGCAGTCCGGTCTGTTCTACTGTATGGTTGTGAAACATGGCCATTGAAGGTGGAAGACATGAGAAGGCTTCAGGTGTTTGACTACCGTTGCCTTCGTAGTATAACGCCGTATTCCGTGGTGTCACCACATGACTAATGCACAAGTTAGGAGTAGAGTTCTAGGGAGTATAAGTAAGTCTGCTGACGAGGTTATGAACCTTCATCAATTGGGATGGTTGGGACACGTACTATGTATGCCTAGTCGCCGATTGCCTCATCACACAACGTTGGCCGAAGTAGGTCCAGGCTGGGAAAAGGCCCGAGGTGGCCAGACATGGCACCAATGTATGCAGTTTTTGTCTGTTGGTTTGAGCCATGTGAGGCAATACAGACTAGCCGGTTGGAGTCATGTGGGATAAGAGGAACCATTGGTTGCAGACTTTAAGTGATCACATGGTTCAGAACCTATGTCAGTGGCGCAGATGTATGTACACATTATCCTCATTTTAACGACGCTATACCGAACCTCACCATTTTCTCATTCTTCCTTTCTCTCTTTTCGTACTTTGCACTTATTTTGACTGGGTTTTCTTATCTTCATCTTGCAGTTCACTGCCTTTTTACTTGATGTACTGATATGAGCTGTGGCAACTGGGACCGTTACGCAGTAATGCCTGCTCCTATGTTGATATTGATGATGATGAATAAGGTGTTTCCTTTCAATAATTGAGAGAGGAAGAAAACATACGTTAAGAAAACTGTCTATTTTCCGTCTTATTACATCTATCCACTTCCTTGAACAGGGTTGGTAGAACAATTCAAAATCAAACAATTGAAATGCTATTTGTAACTAACTTCCAACAAATATCTTTTGGCCACTGTCTACATAACGTACGTTGTAAATGTCAAAGCTCAACAACCAAGTATGGAATCATGTACTGACACCTGCTTTGCCATGACTGTGTTACTACCTGGTTACCTTAACCTCGTTAAGCAAAACGGAGTTAGCACAAGTTACCCAACAGCTGAGAGTCAAATGTCTAATCTAGTGAGCCACAGCTCCATATGTATGCGAACGAATGAATTTTAAAATTTTACTAACTTACTTGTGAGGATGTGCAACCCAAATATGACGCAGGACTGGCAAAGGAGCATCATCATATAAATATTTGTTGTCGACAATCAAATTAACATGCCTTTCTTTAATTGAATTCATCTTTCCAAGAACCTGTGTATAAACAAAGGAATATATATATATATATATATATATATATATATATATTAGTTTGAGGTTTGGTGGAGTTTAATGATTTTTAAGGTTGTACTTATCACCAACTGACATCAGTTAGAGAACCATTGAAAACCTAAGGGCACTGAACACCTGTTTCGTCCTGGTATGGGACTCCTCAATGGTGCGCACTCCCGACACCTCCAAGGATCGAGCTTAGGACCTTCAGGTTTTGTGTCAAGCGTGTCAACCATTCGGCCATCTGGTCCGAGTTCAATGGTTCGCAGTTCTCTACCAAGGAAGGTTTAATTTTTGGCAATTTTTATCTCATTTTAATATCAAGGCAGGTGTGAAAATGTATTTTTCCGCCTTATCACTTTATTTTTCAAAGCTTGTATCATCTTAACCTATTTACCTTGCCCACTATATTTCAACTTTCATATAAAGTAGCTGAGCAGGTAAATGTGTGACCGGATTGTTCGAAATGCGCTGCGCAAATACAACACATTTTTCAGATAACTTTCATCTTATTATTAACATTATGCAAATAGCGATCTAACTTGGAGAGCCATGATTCTTCGTATCTGGTTGTTGCGGCCAGAACACGGGAAGTGTAAAAAAAGTAAAGGAAATATTTGATGTGCTTGTTTTCTTCAGTATAAGGATAACTTAATAGACATCAGTGGCGACAAAGCAAACATTTCAAAAGCTTACTTATTACGACCACACTAGTAAAGGTTGTAACTCAGATTGAACCAAGTCAGAATAGTCGACTGGGTAGGAATAAAATCTGGGTTAACTGTCATATTTAGAGAAATCGAAGTACGATGCTTTTATCAGGTTGTCATTACACTAACTTGCAAGAACAATAAAATTTCCGTAATTTTCATGAAATATGTCACGTTTCTGGCTGCGATATGTCTGTGTTCCATGGTCTGAAAGGATGAAGATTTGATTGATCCACCCACGTTTAGGTCAGAAACCTGGTTTTCTCGAGCTTCATTCAGGCGTCGGATACTCATGGACTCTATGATCTTAGACACGATGTAAGTCACAGGGAAGAAAACATCAGCATGAACTGCTGGTCATTCGTAGGAAAAACCTCACAGCTGTTACATTCTCTCCAGCCGGCAGTATGGCTTTGTCATTGGACCCCCGCCATCACAGTACAGTTGTTCTCATACGATGATGGTAACTGCTTTTTGACTTACGACTACCGAGCAAAACTTCCTAGTATGGATGAACCTCGCGGGACCCGATACATTGATGCATCGACCTTATGCGATATGTTGAAGCTTAGTGTTTTTTAAAGTCGTATTTTGTACTGTTTCTTCGCCACCTCACTATGATCTATTATGCTTAGAATAATCGTGAATCTCTATCAGAAATTTTTTGTATAAACAAAGAACAACGGTTGGGGTAGAATAACATGGTATTACTTTATTTTGTTAGTTCGCCGTTAGCTGCTTACAAATTTTCGCAGTCAAATGAATCTAGTTAACAGCAAACGACATGATTTGCCCGGACTTATGTATTCTTTGTTAAACTACCTCATTCTCTCAGAAATCTTCGACGAAACACTAAATCACAAAGAATCAATGGAAATATCTACTACCAATTTAAGAACAGAGGTTATCGCTTTCGAAGCGTTATTTGAAGGTTTGGATATTGTATGCCGGATTAAATTCTTAAATCTTATCCAGGATCTTCCGTGTAAAACATACAATAATGTTTGTAAAATACTGCGAAATATATCTTCAACTTATCAAGTGCAGAATTGAATCCAATCGAACCTGAAGTACTTTCCTTAGGATTCTAGTTTTGTATTGCTAATAAAGTTATCAACAGGATTGATACTAAAGCTAAGTTCTAACTTTGTATAACTAACTGATAGACTTGCATTCGATGAATGATAACAGAAAAACTGGTTTAAATCTAGTTTGATTGACATCGCAAACCAACTACTTATTTCACCAAACCCATAATCGGAAATTTTATCCAAGGGGGCATCGTACAGCACCAAAAAACCTCGAGAAAAATGGTAACAGTGATATTATGATCAGATAAAGGAGGAAAAAAGATTACATTAAAAAGACGAAAATCGATTACCAACGGCCCTTTGAGAGCCAAACAGGAAAACTGAAGATTGATAAGCTTGATTCAAATGAACAGAGAATCATAGAGAGCTTATAAAAAATAAACATTGATAACTCTACATAAAATGACCTGAAACCTTAAGGATCTCATACGCCTTATATGTATAGTCTGTCGAAGATGCATAGGAAAAATGTTCCTCTAAGACCTATACTAACTCGAATCATCACTCATCACAAGGTTGCCTGTTGGTATGCAGGAAATTTAGAACCTATATGTCAACGACTGAACACAGCCTGAAGTACTCATCTCAGTTCGTTAAAGATGCAAGTTGAATTGACGTCTCCAACAAGTTCACACTGTCATTTCATGTTTTTCACGAGGATTTCTATACATAAGACTGCTGATATTATTTGTCAATATCTCAACCTCCTTCTTCTAACAATTCTGAAATTCAGATGCTTGATAACACTCTATGCCGCTATATTTATGGAGTACCAATGGGCAGTTCATTGGGTCGTGCTGGGAGATATCTTTACGGCTAATCTTGAGATGAAAAGAAGTAAAAATGCAACTGATAAAACTATGTCTTATTCTTGATATGCCGATGACATATTTGTCACGTGCAACGACAGGCATCTTACCTATTAAAAGTATTCAATGATCGAGTTCACCATAGTACATAAAAACAGTGATAAGTTCGGCTTTTTAGACATCGCCTTGCAACACAGAAAGCATGGTACTCTTAAAAAGTCTATTCATCGAAACAGTACGTAGAGCAGACTAAACCCAAACTTCAGCAGCTTTTGTTCAATCAATCTTAAACGAGCATCATTCAAAATGCTATTTTATGCAGCTAGGAAAATGTGTTTGATTGACAAATTGCAAGACGACTTGCTAATTATTGAAAAAACCCTGGGAGAGGATGGTTATCTGCATTTTATTAATAAACAATAAGTGGGAGAATATTACAGTAGGCGAGAAGTCAGTTTGTATTGAACTCAATTTCAAGAGTGACGATGTTGCTCAAATAGAAAATGAGGAAATTAAGTACGCATTCATAGCGAAGTTAGCTGCGCATTTATCTGAACTTAACAGGAATGCTAGTCCTGAGCAATCCTGGTGTGATATTAAATTCATTTTAGAAACAGAGGTGAGAACAGTTGGTAGCCTATACCCAAAGGTTATTAAATCTCATAGGATATCCGCCATGTCATCCGGACTGACTGGGGTGAGAAGACCGACTCCAGCCGGCTTTGACCACGATGAAAGGCAAAAGCGTCTCAACAGTAAGTTGACCAAGAGTCTTCGTAACGATCGCGATCAGAGGTGGCTGGCGAGAGCGAGTGACCATCTGCCAACAGAGGTCGAGCAATTCGGCCTGGTGTACCAACAGGAAATTTTAAGTCTTAACAAATAACAGCCCATACCCATTGTATTAAAAATGGTTCTTGTGTTTCAGTGGCCCAGTAAATAAAGCTTTAGCGTTCGAAGCGATAGGTACTGGGCTCGGGTCCCAGTGGAAATACCACCAATCACTGGAGTGCAGGTACATCCACCTGGCGATTGGCAAATGGGACGAAGGAGCGCGTCCTGTATTCCACCGCTAGGGATCCAATATACTTTAACTTAATGGAATCGAAATTGTCTAGATAAGAATGAGGAAATAAAACGTAACTTGACCTGTTTCAACGCATCCTGACTAACTGACATAACCAACATCCATGCCATAAGAACTATTAGTACATATGTGCATACAAACCTCAATCTGTAATTTATACATTCTTCATGCATAATACATCACATATGGACATGATTTTCGTTCAACAATTTGACGATGCAGAACCATCCATCCAGGAAAACTCAAATCAAGTCGAGTTGATGAGACATATCTAAAATTAATTTTATTCTTCACTTTAATGCTTGCAGTTTAGTCACTATGGTGCTTGTATCTGTGACTACTTACGTCATCATACGCCTGACTGACTGTAACGCGTTTTAAACAGATTTGTTTACACTATGCATTAACTATACAACTATGTGGCAACTATAAACTCCTTGCATTTATAGTCCACAGATCTTTTATAAAAGTTATCATAATCAACTAACCTGCATAATCAAAGAACGCATGTATGGATGGTGGATATATACTATTCCTGTTTTGATAAGTTTCTGCCATAATTTCTGACATTTCCTTTGATCACAGTCATCAGTTTTCAATTCAAGCCTAGCCTTGATAGCGTCCATAAGACGATCATTTATGCTCTAAGAAAATAATAAATTAAACCATGAAACGTGTTGGTGTATATATGCATACCCATAGAATATTATGCCTTGGAACTCCATGTATGTCAAGAAGTTTTAGTGCTTGACTGAAATTTGGAACAAGTTGTTCCCAGTATTTATTTTGAAAGGTTTCAATATCATCTTTAGTTATTTTAGGCTTAGTAAACAAATCTTCAATTGTCTTTTTCATAACTGGAAACACAAAAGGTTTGGGAAGCTAAAATAAACAATAAGATATTATTACTGCCATATAACGTAGAACTTACATTATCTTTTGATTCCATTGTTGAATTAATGATCCTGTAAAGATAAAAAGTACATACAGCACAAGTTAAACACTTCATTTAAACAGAATGTTATGATTATCACTGCAAAAAAGTATGAAGTTAGAAGTTGGAAAAACGAATAAAGAGGTAACGTTTTTAAAGTGATGAATGACTAGTTCCGGTTTCAGTGCGAAAGGACAGGGATTCAGATAGCTTCAATATATCAGTCAAATACATGTTTGACCAAGTAAATTTATAGCTAAAAATGTAAACAGTTCCATATTAGCTTACTTATTTCAAACAGACCGTAAAGCTGATATTAATTAATCATATATGATGAGCCCGTTAATTTACCACAAGTTATCAGATAGCAAATCCTTCAAATAGCAGAAGCCGTAGTTATTCGACCTAACCAGACTAAATTATGTGTACAAAAGAAACAGGTGCAACCACTACTACTACTACACTAACTCTCTGACAATTAGTTTTAACCACCCAACATATTATCACCTACACAGTTGATTTCGAACTGCGATATTGATTGATTGTCCCATAAAATCTCACTGCTTTCTTCATTTCTTTTATTTGATTGAACGATACGGATACAAAACTGTAGAATCTGAAGAACACTTTTTCTACCCATTTTTTTTGTATACCACTGTGAAATGTGGCAACTTGAGCCAATGGACTTGTGTGCGAGGTTCAGGGTTGATTTTGTCTGATTTTACTTACTTCATATGAGTTCGCAAATAGATACCATAAAAAGATATTGAAGTGTGACGAAATCTACACTATATGACAGAACAAAAAAAAAGTAAAGTCAGTTACCAACTTAAATCCAGTCTATAAGTCAGTTCCCTGCATTAGCACTACAAGTGCAAGATCATGGGAACTGACCGTCAAATCCATGGGATATCCAGATGGCAAACCGTACAACACTATTAGTGAAGTGAATACGAAACCTATGAGTGTTTCAAAAAAGTAAAATATATCTACACCTTGGATTTTAGAATTTCAGCTGGTATGAATTGTCAGACCGTACAACAGTGTGCAGATATCAGATACCTAAGCATATCGTCTGGAGAAACTAGTAATATTCTATAAAATGACAGCTGCTGTCGTGACATTTTGGTCAGTATGATATATCATAATCACCCAACGAACTACTCCAACTGCAGCGATTGTTCTTTGATTTATTTTTATTAACTAGGTGTAGCATGGGTACTAACAGATGCACCACAGAAAATGATAAAAAAAAAATTAAGAATACACCAAAAAGTGGCATAAATGCAAGAAAGGAGAACCAGTCGATTAGGTTGTGAAGTTTGAACCGACTGAACTGGCAGGCGTGTTGTGTATGCCAAGACTTTTTTGTCCTGATGTTTGGTGTTAGCCGAAATAGAAATGTGGGGGACGATAAGGCTAAGGGCTATCGAAACCTTGACACCAGTCTAGACAGTCTTTGACTACTGGTTTGAGCTTAGTTTCACCACTTCACTTTCATCCTTAAAACAGGAGTCGCTGCAGACCAGTCCTGAAGCATCATCTTACATTTGACAAGTGTGAAATTCATGCCATCTAATACAACCATATCGCCTGAGTACTCGAAATCAACCAAATGGTGTCCAGGGAGTAAGTTAATCCCGAAGGAGTTAGAGATACCTGAAGTTATGTCCATTAATACACCTACAACGAAATTTAATAGGAACGGTGACAGCTTGCATTTCTGAAGGACACTACTAGTTGTCCTCAGTTCTGACAAAAACTCTCCATAAACCCTAACACGGCTGCATGAGTTCAAGTAGAGAGCTTAAATCAGTATTACATACATGTTTGGTACTTCCCTCAAAGTCAGAAGCTGACAAAACAACTCACAGTCGACAGAGTTGAATGCCGCCATCAGGTTAAGGAGTATAGAAAGTGTTAGCTACCGGTAAGTATGCCTGTTTCAGAACCAGCCAAAGGTGACTGAAATTTGGAACAAGTTGTTCCCAGTATTTATTTTGAAAGGTTTCAATATCATCTTTAGTTATTTTAGGCTTAGTAAACAAATCTTCAATTGTCTTTTTCATAACTGGAAACACAAAAGGTTTGGGAAGCTAAAATAAACAATAAGATATTATTACTGCCATATAACGTAGAACTTACATTATCTTTTGATTCCATTGTTGAATTAATGATCCTGTAAAGATAAAAAGTACATACAGCACAAGTTAAACACTTCATTTAAACAGAATGTTATGATTATCACTGCAAAAAAGTATGAAGTTAGAAGTTGGAAAAACGAATAAAGAGGTAACGTTTTTAAAGTGATGAATGACTAGTTCCGGTTTCAGTGCGAAAGGACAGGGATTCAGATAGCTTCAATATATCAGTCAAATACATGTTTGACCAAGTAAATTTATAGCTAAAAATGTAAACAGTTCCATATTAGCTTACTTATTTCAAACAGACCGTAAAGCTGATATTAATTAATCATATATGATGAGCCCGTTAATTTACCACAAGTTATCAGATAGCAAATCCTTCAAATAGCAGAAGCCGTAGTTATTCGACCTAACCAGACTAAATTATGTGTACAAAAGAAACAGGTGCAACCACTACTACTACTACACTAACTCTCTGACAATTAGTTTTAACCACCCAACATATTATCACCTACACAGTTGATTTCGAACTGCGATATTGATTGATTGTCCCATAAAATCTCACTGCTTTCTTCATTTCTTTTATTTGATTGAACGATACGGATACAAAACTGTAGAATCTGAAGAACACTTTTTCTACCCATTTTTTTTGTATACCACTGTGAAATGTGGCAACTTGAGCCAATGGACTTGTGTGCGAGGTTCAGGGTTGATTTTGTCTGATTTTACTTACTTCATATGAGTTCGCAAATAGATACCATAAAAAGATATTGAAGTGTGACGAAATCTACACTATATGACAGAACAAAAAAAAGTAAAGTCAGTTACCAACTTAAATCCAGTCTATAAGTCAGTTCCCTGCATTAGCACTACAAGTGCAAGATCATGGGAACTGACCGTCAAATCCATGGGATATCCAGATGGCAAACCGTACAACACTATTAGTGAAGTGAATACGAAACCTATGAGTGTTTCAAAAAAGTAAAATATATCTACACCTTGGAATTTTAGAATTTCAGCTGGTATGAATTGTCAGACCGTACAACAGTGTGCAGATATCAGATACCTAAGCATATCGTCTGGAGAAACTAGTAATATTCTATAAAATGACAGCTGCTGTCGTGACATTTTGGTCAGTATGATATATCATAATCACCCAACGAACTACTCCAACTGCAGCGATTGTTCTTTGATTTATTTTTATTAACTAGGTGTAGCATGGGTACTAACAGATGCACCACAGAAAATGATAAAAAAAAAATTAAGAATACACCAAAAGTGGCATAAATGCAAGAAAGGAGAACCAGTCGATTAGGTTGTGAAGTTTGACCGACTGAACTGGCAGGCGTGTTGTGTATGCCAAGACTTTTTTGTCCTGATGTTTGGTGTTAGCCGAAATAGAAATGTGGGGGACGATAAGGCTAAGGGCTATCGAAACCTTGACACCAGTCTAGACAGTCTTTGACTACTGGTTTGAGCTTAGTTTCACCACTTCACTTTCATCCTTAAAACAGGAGTCGCTGCAGACCAGTCCTGAAGCATCATCTTACATTTGACAAGTGTGAAATTCATGCCATCTAATACAACCATATCGCCTGAGTACTCGAAATCAACCAAATGGTGTCCAGGGAGTAAGTTAATCCCGAAGGAGTTAGAGATACCTGAAGTTATGTCCATTAATACACCTACAACGAAATTTAATAGGAACGGTGACAGCTTGCATTTCTGAAGGACACTACTAGTTGTCCTCAGTTCTGACAAAAACTCTCCATAAACCCTAACACGGCTGCATGAGTTCAAGTAGAGAGCTTAAATCAGTATTACATACATGTTTGGTACTTCCCTCAAAGTCAGAAGCTGACAAAACAACTCACAGTCGACAGAGTTGAATGCCGCCATCAGGTTAAGGAGTATAGAAAGTGTTAGCTACCGGTAAGTATGCCTGTTTCAGAACCAGCCAAAGGGTGAAGATGTGATCGATGCTCTCTTGACCAGGTGATAAAACCTGCCTGGTTTCATTGAGCTTCAGTCAAGTGTTGGAAAAATATGAACTCCAGGATCTTGGACTCGATGTTAGTTAAATTGATCCTCCTATAGCTGCAGCAGGGAAGGTAGTATTAGCACGAACTGCTAGTTATCCGTAGGAAATACCTCGTCGCAGTTACATTCTGTTCAGTCAACGTATAAAGATTCTCTCAAATGCCTGGCTGCTTTACCAGGGGTAACCGCTTTTTGTCTGACCACTACCCAAAAAACTTTCTGGTATAGTCGGACGTCAAGCAACAAGTTTCCCTGCCAGCGTACATCGTTGGCTCATTGTGATATGCAAGCCCAAACCACCACAGTAGGATGGCAGCTACTAGTCGGGCTAAACCTAAAACGGTAATTACCAAACCAGAATGAGGGTTAACTAGTCAATCAACTTTCCTCTTCTCCCTAAAACTAGACACTTAAGTTCTGAGTTACTGACGTGGTGGTATCACGAGATAGCTTATGCTACAGAGGAAACGGCTGTCGAATACATAAAGGATCATGTCCTGTACCTGCTCGACAGCCAAACAGTGAACCAAAGCAAACTGGAGTGCAGTATACTCAAACCTTAATCGGCAATCTGAAACCATAGCGTGGGGCCATAAGTGCCGTAAGCCAATCTGTCCTTTTGTGTCTGTTCATAGATTTCATCGGTCATCGACCGACCAGGGCTGGTCCGACTTTCCACATAAGTAAAGTGGTCAAATAGCTCAACCATCTAACTTTCCATAACTAACCGGGGCACTGATGAAGACCAGTCTTGGAGCCACAATTTGCATTTAGATGGACTGAAACGCATCAAAAACATTCAGAAATGGCTATTCAAAGTGTCCAAAAAACTGTATTCTGCTAGTGTTTTCACTTAACAGGACGGTCACCTGCATACACTAAGTCCACAAACAACCGTGTGATAAGATCAGTCCGTGTAAAGTTAGAAGAGGAGGAGGCCTCAACAAATACGTCTATGAGAAAGACACAAGAATAGGATGAGTGGACATACTTCACGGAAACTACTCAGCGTACACAACTCACCAAAAACTTCGACACATCCGAAAATGTACATGTTGAGAAAACTTAACAGATTTATTTAATTACTCACCACACCTTTCAGCTGGAGACACTGCTACAAAGCCTGTCGATCAACAGAGTGGAGTGCCACCTTCAGTCAAGAAAAACACCGTGTCTTGCGTCCGTAAGCCTGCGCTCCCGAACCTGGCCAAGACTCCATATATGGTTGATACCTACGACTTAACATGCTTGTAAGACTGATTTCCCCATAGTTAATAAGAAGACTTCTAGCCTCTCTTAAAGGCAAAAACAAAGAGTTACTGAGACGAGTCACAGCGGGATCAGATTTACCGACTCCTCGAAGTCTTGCGATTCCTATTTTACAGTTATATTCCAGATCCGGTTGGACATCAGGAAAAAAGTAGTAACTAACACAAATGTTAACTATGTTAACATAGCCCATTTGATGATTGCGTCAAACAATTATCCCAGGAATTCATCAGAGCAAAACGAACACTTTTAATATTTGGAATGTTTCATATCAATCATGAGGATTAGTTGCGGTAAAACTACCACCGAATTACTTGCCGTCTTCATACAGTAGCGCAGGTAAACGACTTTAGCGCGTTATTTCTGCTACTTAAGTGGCTCAAAATGTTTGTTGGTAGGGTAGAAGAAACCTTCACTAATCTAGCTTCCACGTTCAGAAGCTGTTTCTCTGGCTGCTTGTCTCTTTTCAGTACAAGCAGAAAGAAAAAGATTGCTATTAAATAGGAAGAAAAGTTTTAAGTCATCCTAATGGCTAAAATGTTCAAATGCTTATTGGTGAAAAAGAATAAGCTTTCGCTTAGCTGGTTTCCGCATCCAGAATGCGTAGATCTCTAGTTCACATGGTTCTTAAGACCTGTACAACTAGAGGGAGAGTAAAAGATGAAGTGTTAGTTTGGAGATAGAACCCTAAGATTGGTGCTACAACCATGACTCAGTAGCACAGGAATTGCCTTTTAGACGCTTAGTAAAAACTACAGGCGAAGAAATATTTCTTCCCAAATGGTTCCTCATAAACGGCTCTACACCAGTATATAGCATTTTCAAAACTGAAAAAGTACATGCCAATCTAGTGGTGACAGTTGTTTAGCGACAGGTTATCAACCCCAAAGTATCAGGAGGGTGATAAGTGACGGGGTAATTGTGACAATAACCGAAGCAAAGATTAATTATAGTAGAAAAATTTTGTGAACTTTCAAACAGGTCGTTATATGATGTCTTCGTTTCACAAAGTGTGTAAAACACTCAGACCTACTGGTACAGTAACACCGAGGTTGTACGGTTTATCGAAAGTACATAAGAAGGGACTACCACCCCTACCAATTCTCGATGTATCAAACTCTCCGTATCATTTGACAGCGAAATGGCCAGTACAATTCTTGCAAAAATTGAATGAGATAACTGTAAAGCACAGCGTCGAAGATACCCTTCACTTTATTGAGAGGATCAGAGATTCGAATGTGAATAATATGTCTATGACATCCTGAGACATATCATCCCTATTCACAAATGTACCTCTGATAGAAATAGTAAACTTCAAACGTGGCGGGCTGACAGAGAGAAATATGGAAGCTGGGATGACGGCATCCACCCTGAAAGAGCTTCTCTCACGGCGTACAATAAGTGTCCGCTTCCTCGTCAACAAGGAATCCTATAGGCAGTCAGACAGTGTTGCTATAGGGACACCACCGGGCCAAATCTTATCAGGTGTTCGCCTACAGAAAGTGAAAAATGGCCCTCTGGAAAATATCATAGGCGGGTTGGAATTTTACTTCCGTTATACAGACGATACATCTTGATTGTGAATAACGAGAACGTTGCAAGGATTAGGCTGGATAAATTTAATGGCGTCTGTCCAGCGATAACCTTCACCACCGAGAGGGAAGGTGATAATACCACCACCTTCTAAGATGACCAATCTACAGGGAAGGCGGATGGAACCGTAAAAGGAAGTGTACATCGGAAACCAACGTCACTGGGTCAATATACCCGTTTTTCGAGTCTCGTCCCCTTGCGATATGAACGAAATCTAGTCATATGTCCGGTCCATCGAGGCAAGACTTATCTGCCCAGATGATACATTTGATGAAGAACCTCAGATTATCTATGATCTGCTCAGTTGTAGTGAATGTCCAGAAACGTTTCTAGCTGAAAATATGGATACGTCTAACGTGAAACCCAGAGCGCCAACAGCCTCCAAGACACCATTGTTCCCAAGACCACGATTTCGAGGTCAACTCGCCGGCGAAATGTGACACTGACTAAGAAATGCCATGAGAAGATCATTTAATGCAGCAGCGTCATGTTGCGTATTCTGCAGTCACGAATCAAAAACAGACTACTTGACTTCGTTTTTCCATATACATTTGCAGCTCAACTGGTCCTGTGGGGCTAGTTACCTTGGACATGAAGTCGGGCAAGTCCTTCTTCAAATCGCCGAGCTCCATCCATCATGGCTAAGTAAAGGGGAGGCAAGCTATACCAATACGAAGCCCAATACTCTTTCATCTGATTGACACTGGTCACCGAGTTACTATTCCTAACGCCTTAAGAGTTCCTTATCATATTCCTTCCGATCTAACTCATGATCCACGGGCTTATGGAAGTGAAGCAGAAGCCATCGGAATACACTTAAACAAGCCGTCTGTGTGTTCATAAGAAATCCGTGCAGCCCCTTTCTTTGCCTTGGCCATCCGTACAACTTATGCGTTGAAACAAGACCCCTCCTATCATTCACCCACAAACCACAATGACTAATATATCAATACTTCTTTAGGATTTGTCCTGGCGCGAACTTGATAGACGCAAAGGTCAATCACTAATTATTTGGACTTGCTATATACCCACGAGTACGAGACCAAGGAAGAACACGATAGCGTAGTCGGATGGAAGAGTATACTTGGATGGTTGAGCCGAGATACCAAAGTGTTCCAACTAACTGGCTAGAGGGTCGAGTACAAGCAGAGCAACGTAACATGACAGCGTGCCAAATGGCGAGGATGCTTGACCGGATGCCTTCAGCTCAGCGGTCCAGTTAAACTACCAAGGTCAGCATCAATGTCGAAAGTCGTCAAACCCTAGGCTATTGATTTCGGGGAAGTGTGTGACGCTACACTTCCATTATTATCATTGCATTTTCAGCCTCCTTATTCTCACCCTACTGTCCATAATTACCGCCGCCACTTACCACTTGATGTAACACCCCACTTCCACCTCCCTGCCCGTTAGTTACTATTATTTAATATATCAGTTATGTAACGACCTGTTCGAAAGTTCACAAAATTTTTCTACTGTAATTAATCTTTGCTTCGGTTATTGTCACAATTACCCCGTCACTTATCACCCTCCTGATACTTTGGGGTTGATAACCTGTCGCTAAACAACTGTCACCACTAGATTGGCATGTACTTTTTCGGTTTTGAAAATGCTATATACTGGTGTAGAGCCGTTTATGAGGAACCATTTGAAAAGAAGTATATATTCGGTCACGCTTTCCAAAAATTTGTCTAAGGGTTTCATTTCCAAGTTTCCACGAAATGAGTTTCCATCACAGTTGGCATAGGATTTTAAGTCCTGAGCAAATAAAACGCCCAAATACTTCTCCGTATGCAACGCTTCAAGTTCCGAGGCACGGAGAATATACGCGCGACATTAATCATGTTTTACGTGTACGACACTGCTTTTTTCGGAATAAACGCAAGTCCATTATCGGCTGCTCAATTTTAAAGTCCGGTTAATTCGCCCTGTACAGAGACACTGTCTTGCTCACTTTTGATTTCTCCCCATAGTTTTATATCACCCACTAGAGAAAGAATTTCAGGAAGAGCTTGCCGAGACAAATCATTTGTGTGGATTGTAAAACGGAAGAGGCTTCACCATTGAACCGTTGAGAACCTTTCTTTGGCATTCTGCTTCTTCAGACATAAAGGATCCCGGTCGTACTCTAAGTAAGCGACCAAGTAGGTATGAAGACGATCGGTCAATTAGCGATGGCCTGGTACCGGCTAATTTTGATTTACCGTCGAGGCAGTTGCGATGATCACGATCAAGCGCCCTGACAGAGTCCATATAAACAATATCAACTATATCTCGACGATCAAAAACACCAAACCATCCACCGGCTGCAGTAACCACCTCAACAATGCGGAAGTACCTTTTTCTAGATGTGTTGTTGGGGCGCACGGTAGTCAATCGTTATCAGATGGATCCACCAGTCCATCATAGATAAACGATTCTGCTTTTCTGGAAGGGATGGATAAGAGCGCCATCGGTTTGCACTTCTTCCGGTTGCTTCTTTGACCCCCCTTGAAGACTGGGGTTATATGGCCCATCTCCCTAGGCTCGTAGAATCCTAAAATGACTCGCTTAAAAGTTCAGCTAGCTTCTCCCTACAGCAACGCTGGTCTCGGATAAGTGTCTTTTGTGAGCAGTAGCAGTTTGAGCTGTAATGACTCGGCGCCTAAGTCAATGGCGAAGAGTCACACTTCGGTACTGAGGTATTCATAAACTCCTGAGTAGGTGGAAGAGACTCGCGAATAATGCTGAACTGAGGGTTCGGATACTACGGTAACGTTACCAACCACTCCAATTGGCCTTAGTGGCCGAGAAACTCCGGCTTTGGCCAATCGGAATGATGCAGACAGGGAGGCGAAATTCTAGGGCAAGAGATACAACATTCTTATAGGCCTAACTTAACGCGGTCACCGACCAGATCTCAATGCCTTTGTGCATGCGCTACCCGCCTATTTGGATGGTCTAGGATTGAAAGTGAAACAGGCTGGCTGGTATTATGTATGATTTTGTCGTGTATGAATCCCCATTGATTTTTGAAACCTGCCACCTATTATCAACTTTTTGGTCTGCCTGTTTCAAAGCCGTCCAGAGAGTAGGAGTATTCAGTCGTCTGAAGCTGCAGCGCTACTCGTTTAAAGTTCTGACTAGCTTTTTTGCAAATGTAGTGGACCCTGATGACAACGTGATCACTCCTGCCAAAAAAGGAAGAACTACCAGGTTGTCACTGAAGAGTTCTTCGCTCATGAAGATGCAGTCTAAGTGGGATGGTGCTTGATCTCAAGTCTTCCATCAGCCCCAGTCCTTCAGTCGGACTGAAGAATCGGGCTTCATTGGGGTCCCAACTGCCGCTAAAAGTAGGATCTGCGACGTTAACCCTCGGTAATGTCTAAGTCTCTTAGAATCAGTGTGCGCCCGTGCAACCGTCCAAGAGAGCAACTGATTGTCTCTAGCATTTGGCCGTCGCACTGTACGTCAGTGGATGACTAGCCATAAATGACACCCTGTAGGTACTTGGTAGCCTTGAACAGCTATATGGAACGCCAGCTGGACCCTTTAAGACAGCTGAGTTCCCGAATGTGCCTTTGGTGAGCTGTGAGAGAAGAGCAAACATAATTGCTACCCTACCGCCTAACCTGCTCCTGTGCCGCTGAGATATATTTTAGGACGTCCGTATGTATCGTCAGCACCTGCTATATGGTCTTGAGTGTCTTTAATTGGTTCTCACAGTTTACAGAGTTTGCTCAGGAAACGTTTTGCATTCACGTGGGTG